CATGGCCAATCGGGACCGTGGTCAATTGCAACGTGGCCAATCGGGACCGTGGTCAATTGCAACGTGGCCAATCGGGACCGTGGTCAATTGCAACGTGGCCAAACGGGACCGTGGTCAATTGCAACGTGGTCAATCGGGACCGTGGTCAATTGCAACGTGACCAAACGGGACCGTGGTCAATTGCAACGTGGTCAATCGGGACCGTGGTCAATTGCAACGTGGCCAATCGGGACCGTGGTCAATTGCAACGTGGTCAATCGGGACCGTGGTCAAGTAAAAAGTCAAGTGAAAAGTCAAGTGAAAATGCTGGTCTGGTCGACGACGACGACGACGACGACCGGGACGAGGACGACAAAGATGTTTCTTAATCCAAAATTTCAAAAAACTGACTTTGCATTGCAATACCTCCACTCCTGGGGCACGTAGGAGAAAAGTAAAAACACTTTTATTATGCAAATCGTACCCAAGCTATCGATTAAGCGCAGTCTCAATTTCATCGGATCAGCCGTTGTTGAGATCCGAAAATCTGAGGGCCCGTCAACTCGTGTACTCGCGTAAACTTACACGGTCGGTCTCGCACGCGTGTACTACCCATACAGCACATGTAGATGCTGAGAATGTTCGAAGAATATCGCAACAGTAGATTGCGTATATTCTCACAACATACGAGATACGTACTACGATTTATTTAGAACATACTGAGAAAATTCCTATTTCCGGGGTTTTTCAGTTCGTAGTATATACTGAGAATATTTTGCAGTACATGCGTAGAATATCCGTAGCATCACTATAGAACCAAGAATAGAACGTGCACAGAATGTACTTCTTTTTACGGTAGGTAGGGTAAATAATTAGTATGTATGTATGTGAATTTATTCCTGCTAGACAAATACATTGGCGCTTTTTTAAGGGAGCGTTCCCGAACCCTTTACATAAACCGTTCCCCCTACCGCGACCTGGCCATGAGCGACCTTTACATACTTTTTATCCCACCCTCCCTTCGTCCCACCCTCTATTTATACCCCTCCCTCTTTCGTTTCTCCTTCCTTCTTCCTCTCTGACCTCCTTCTGTCATCCTTCTTCTCTCCATCCTTCCTGTTTTCCCCTTTCCTTTCTTTTTCCACCTGCCATCTTCTCTTGCTTTCCTTCCTTTTTGCTCCATCTTTCTCTCTTGCCTCCTCTTTTCTTCACCTCCAGCTCCTTTCTCCTCCCTGTAACCAAATTCCAAATTAATACACTATACTCTCTCCCTTTCTCCTGTTTCCGCTTTTCTCATCTCTCCTTTACTCGTCTTCCAATTCCTGTCGCCTCCTCTCTCCTTCTCACTCTCCGTTGCTCCTTTCCTCTTTTCCTCCTTCGTCTTTTCTTTCTCCTATTCTCTCGTTCTCCTCTCTCTCTTCTTCTGCTTCCTCACCTCTTCCTCTCCTGCTTCTCATCTTTCTCTCTCTCTCTCTTCCTTTTCTTCCGCTCTCTCCGCTCCTCCGTCTCCTCCTTGTCCGTTCCCCCTGCTTCCTCCGCTTCTCACCTCTCATTCTACTCACTTTCCTCTTCCCCTTTCCGCCTCCTGCACTCCTGAACACCTTCCTCTTCCACCTCCCCTTCCTCCTGGTCGCCCTCTTGGTTGTTCGATCTGTCCCAGCCCGTCTCTTCTGTCTCTCTTCCTCTTCTCCTTCGGTATCGCTCCTTGATTTTCCTACCTCCTTCTCCGGTCCTCTCCCTTCCCCCTCTCTCTCTTTCCATTCCTGTCGCCTCCTCTCTCCTTCTCACTCTCCGCTGCGCATTTCCTCCTTTCCTCCTTCGCCTTTTCTTTCTCCTATTCTCTCGCTCTCCTCTCTCTCTCTTCTTCTCCTTCCTCTCCTCTTCCTCTCCTGCTTCTTATCCTTCTCTCTCTCTCTCTTCCTTTTCTTCCGCTCTCTCTGCTCCTCCGTCTCCTCCTTGTCCGTTCCCCCTGCACTCCTCTCTCTCTCCCGGTCATTGTCTCCGCTTCCTCTTCCTCCCTCTCTCCCTTTCTCCTGTTTCCGCTTCTCTCCTCTCTCCTTTACTCGTCTTTCCAGTCCTGTCGCCTCCTCTCTCCTACCCTCTCTCTCCTTCCAGCTCTCCCTTCCTCCTTTCTTACCTCCTCTCTCCGTCTCTCTCCCTCTCCCTTGCTCTTCTCCTCTCCTACTTTCTCCTCCACTCCTCCATCTCCTCCTTGACCGTTCTCCCTGCTTCCTCCGCTTCTCGCCTCTCGTTCTACTCACTTTCCTCTTCCTCTTTCGTTGTCCGTCTTCCTCTCCGTCCCCCTTTATCTCCTCTCCTCCACCTCTTACCTCCCTCCTCTCTCCTCCTCCTTTTCACTCCTGTCGCCTCCTTCCTCCGCCTTACTCTCTCCTCTGCATCTTTCCTTCTCCCCTCTTTCTTCTCCTCCATCGCTCTCCCCCGCCGATCCTCTTCGCTGCCGTCCGATTTCATCTGCCAGCTCCCTTCCTGCACTCTCGCCGGTCGACTTTCCGCTCGACTATCGATCACTTCCATCCGCTCCGTTCCCTACCAATCGCCTTCTCTCCCGTCCATCGATCTCTCGCATTCGGCCTCATCACTCCCCACCTCCACTTCTATCGATCTCTCGAACCTCCCGTCCAATCCTCTTCCTTCTCCGTATCGATTCTCGATCACCTCTGTTCTCCCCCACCACTTCCGTCCTCTCCGTTCCTGATTGCCGACTCATGCCAGCACCTCTCACTTTCCACTTCAGTTTCTCTCCTATCCTTCACTTTTTCTTCTCTCCTCCATTAATTCCACTGTCACTTCTCCGTCTCCTCTTTCCATCACCTCCTCCATCTCCCGATCACTCCTCTCCAGCCTTTCCTTTCCCTACCTTTTCCACTCCGTCTTCTCACTGTATGTCTTTCCTCCTCGCCATCTTTACCCCTTCCCGGGTAAATAATTAGTACTTATTTATAAATTATAAAAATATATTTGTACGGTACATTTTTTATTTTCACATTTGTTTTAACGGTTAGTTTAT